CTCCGAAAGTTGCCGAGAAAACTCAGCGGAAATTCGTACTTCCCACACTGTGCCCTGGGGGACCGGAGGATCGGATGGAGCGGGGGAGAGGGAGGACGGCGCCGCGGGGGGGCGGGGGGAGGAAGCCCACGGCCGGTCCTGGCTCGGCTCAGCCCCGGCAGCGAGCAGGGGCGCAGAGTGGGAAAGTAGGAATTGGAACCGGCTGCTGTGGCTGCCTCCCAGCCACATGGGTTGCAGATAGCGCTGCGCATCGAGGAGGGGGAAGGGAACAGAAGTAAACTAGACGTCGTCTGTCCACCCCACCCCTTTTTTTCCCTTGTGTTTAGAAACCTGCCAAAAGCAATAGTTACGGTTTACCACGGATTGAGGACTTTTCTTTGTGTTGAGCAAACGGCAATCACAGGACTAAGCCCCCTCTAGTACATAAGGGAATRAATTTTCATTCATTCCAGCGTCCTGCCCAGTAAGTTCCTGACAAAGTTGCCAGTGAGGATGCWATTGAACTCGGCTCCAGCTCCATGAGGGGCTCGTCAGAATGATCCAGATGCTCTTCAGAAATAATTCCTGTTTTAAAGTCTTCTTTCTCAACAACATACAGATTCAGGTCAATAGGAAGGTGTCGGAAAGCATACTGAAAACGAAACATAATGCGTATCCATTCTTTCAATGACTTGCCTTTCCTGTTGGCATTTCTTTTGTTTTTCTACGACATCACCAGTCGAGTAAAGGAGTATCTTAGGGTGGGAGGAAATGCCTAAATATGTAGGCATAATACGTAAATAAATAAGATGTCCAAGGATGATGAGGGAAAGAAGGTAATGACCAGTATTCCATGTTGCRAATTTAATAAATATGCTGGAAACTGTTAGCACATGATGTTGTATGCAACTGCACACACTTTGCATACATTTTTGGACTAAAGCTGTGTACAAGCCCTGCTTCTCTCTCTTCTCTCTTCTTCTCTCTCCGTCAAAAGATGGATTTAGATAGCTTTTGTGGGAGCTTTGTTTTGGTGACCACGTCAGCATGAACAGGTAGCATGAGTGTTAGTTTRTGGTAAGGCCCTGTTGACTCTGATCTAATTCTGATTTGGTCCTGAGGAAACCTTGAAGAAAAGGGATAAGGCTTAGTTTGGTCAATGGAGCATCACTATGAGCCTCACAGTTCCTAGCTCTGGTAGTTATCTGATGATGGGCCTTGCCAACAATAATCCTTTTGTAGTGATAACAGCATTGTGCTGGTGTAGGAAGAAATGTTTACRGCCAGAGAGTGATATTTTAGAAAATCTGGGTGAGTTTGCAAGTGTCTTCAAAAATCAAGTGAACAGCTCTGAATTGTACCTTGCTTATTTGGAAAACCCAGTGTGAACAATAATGCACTGGAATGTGGTTATGGCAAGGAAAGCTGGTTGGGTGTCTGGTTTTGGGTTTGTTGTGAGATTTTTTTGGCAACAAATTGTTGTTGCATATGTAGTCTTTATAAGCTGGAAGAGTAACTCAAAGATTGTGTACTTATACAAAAAAAAACCTGCTTATAGTGGAAGGCATTGTATTACATTGAAAAGTAAACTTTTTGAAGAAAAAATAGTGGAAATTGGASTTGTCAGATTCCAGAACTTGATGACTTCTGCAGACATTCACTGTCTTGCCATCAAACAAGACTGTTCTTAACTTACCTTGTTTTTGGTTTGTTCTTAAATTGTTGCTGTTTTCTTACATTGTTTTCTTACTATGCACTCAAGAGGCTTGTCTGCTTCTTGAATGAATGAAAAGGTTTCTGTTTTAATTATTTGTAACTGCTGTATTTTGAACAGTACATGCTTGATTAGTAAGCTATTTTTCCTGAGAGAAATCTGAATAATTTTTTGGGAAAATAACTTTTCGCTAGCCTTTTTAATTAATTTTCCAGGTTACTCAAGAAACCCATGCAACATTTATTCATRAATTGAATGACCATGGGTTAAGAATCCAGACCTTTTAGCTTAGTCTCTTCCTTAYTGACTATTTTTTTCACTTTTCAGCTTCTTCTTTTCAATGCATCCCATGTCTAATATTCAGGAAAAAGTAGAGGTATTATTTTCTCCTACAATGACTGCATGTTTCTTTCTTCATTTGCAAAGCCCCTGTGGTTCAGGGAGAGGCATCCTGGYTCTGAAAGTTTTCTTTAATTCTGARAAAAGACTAACTGACCAGTTACACATTTGCGTAACTGTGGTGTACTTTAAATAGTGGAAATTTAGAAAACCGTTCTTTATGGTATGTTTATTTTCTGTTCTTTTGGGTTATTCTTTTGAAACATGGTTAAGCTCATAATGGCAATTTATTAACTGTCCTTCCTGTAGAAGCACTGTAGATATTTTTCTAGTCATATGTCATAGCAAATACTAGAAGTTTAAGTCAGATTTTGTCTTATGTATTGCTTTTGATTTATGCCTTCTGAAACTTACTCAGCATGATTCTTTTCACTGGGTTTGTGGAATTGTAAGTGGCAGGAATTTAAAAAAAATTAACTAGTGATTCTTAGAAAGACAGTTCATCACACACTTGTTCTTAAACTGCAAATATTTTATACCAGAAATGAAATAAACAATTGCAATGGATTTTTTTCTGATTTTTTAAATTAATTAAAGTGGRAAGTTATTATTCAAAATTCATTAGAAATACAACTGTTGAAATAAAAGATGCTGCATTTGTTTTCCTGCTTTYGAAGAGGAACTTTCCCATTGCAGTAGTTCTTGTTTCCTTATCCAAGCACACAATAAAATTTTWAATGCATGATTGAGAAGTAGTAATCTTTTTTACCCCAACCTGAAAAAGCATACATCTACCTATGAAAAAAAATGGATAAAGGGAAAATTTGAAGTAACCTGTTCTTTAAAGCTTTAAAGCTTATCTTAAAACATACCTTCATGGTTAAGGTTTGAAGTGTGAGGACTTTGAAGGGCCAAGAAAAAATAGCGAGATCAGAAATACTGTCTTTTCACTGAGACATATCTATTCCTATGATAATTATGAGGGAACTGACCTTAAATAAGGTATTGTTTCGTGGCTAAATAGTATTCATATGTTTTTTATACCTAATAGCTCTGATTTTTTTGCTTTTTTGGGGTTTTTTTTCAAGAGATGTTTTTTAGGCACTGGTGAGAGAACTAGTGATTCAAAGTGAACAAGTATTTGTAGGCAGAATACAAAATAGAGTGAAAGAAGCAGCATGCTCATTGTAGCCTACCCCAGCTTATACTGTGACTGCAGCAATGCCCGCATGAGAAACTTACATTAAATAAAATTAATCTTTCTTGACTCCAGAATAAGATAACTGATGCTGAACTGGTAAGTTTAAGGGCTGGTATCTCATAGATTTATGTAGTTGCCAGGAATGGTGGCAGGAATGGCTCCAGGAGCTGGAGCTTAATGTGAGAAGAGGAATATTTTGATTGGTCTCTACAATTTTTTCTGCCCACTGCAAGCCATGTTTTCATGTGAACTTGTAAAAAACGTTTCTAGGCATGTCAGCTTTGAACTTTCTCATCAAACTAACTGGCTTCATAGAAACTTTATTCAACCTTAGTGTCAGAATTCACATTTAAAATGAAAAAAGTTTCTGTAAGTTGATATATCAACCTGTTTAGTTGGTTAGTATTTGAAGTCATTTGACTTCATAGGAAGYTGTTGTGTACAGCATTACTCCATGTGTCACGCCAAGTTCCCCTGAAATTAGAACAAAGAAAAAACKAAGATACATCACCATTCCTGTTTTCTACCTGATGAAGTACCACTGTATGAATTAATGTTTTTGTAGTTATTTTTGCTTTTGAAAGAGATAAAAGATATTGAGGAGCATTGTAAAGTTTTAACAAAACCAGTTCATACACCATCTGTATTAGTAGCTCCTACAGCCCATGTATTAAAGCGTCTTTTAAGTGGTCACCAATTTTGTGATATTTCATGTGTCAGTGTTAGTAATGCAAATACCATAGTGCAGGAAAAACRGGGCAATTCTAGTGCCAAAAGTGTTTTTTTTTTTTTTCTTTGGAATTGCACAAACAGTTCACCTGTACTGTGTAATTTTTGTTGKGTTGTGCTTACTGTAAGTAATTAAAATTTTAAATAAACAGTTTCCTGATACCATGGTTTGTGTGTAATGAAATGTCAYTTGACTCCCAGGCCAGCAGTTAATATTACAAGCCTGTTCAGCTCCACAGGATGAAATCTACCATATGTTTTACAGATATCTGCTCTTATCATCCATAGAAATCTGTGGCCCACAAAACTCTTCTGCAAATATCTTCAAACTTTTTAGAGTTAAACATCTAAGTATTTGTGGGTTTTTGACATATGATACCAGTCTAGACATGCATTTACCATTGTGTTCATGCTTTGTCAAGCAATCAAACCCCACTGAATTTCATATAGTGCCTCTTCGACTTCCTCTGGGCAGGCAGTTCCAGGACATTGTGTTGATTACAGCAATTCGTTCCTTTGTGCATATCAGTTTACTTACCAAATAGTTTCAAATCTGGTTTWTGGAGTTTCCCTGCCTATACAGTTCACCTGCCTATTGTATCTGTATCCACATGTACACTGTATTCACATGTTCTCTCTGCAGGTGAAAATCAGCTGGCTCAATCTATGCAATTAAATGCAAATCAAGCAGTGGATGATGTTGCTGTAGTGTCAGTATTTCAWAACAATAGAGTTAGTTGTCTGCATTCTGTGTAGTGATGTCTGCCAGATCCCTTACATAGGTGAGATTCACTGAATCATACTT